CTGAGCATTACCTCACAATTAATTTAAACCATGTAATACAAGCTATTTACATATGAATAGAATAGCTGAGAAGGAGCACCCGAACTTATTGAAGCAGCCAATAATAAGTGATCGAAGAGACGGCGTCGACGAGCTGCAGCATCATTTGCAAGAAAGAAACACAAGAACAAAACAAAAACGAAAACGAAGTATAATAAGAATTACAAATATTCTATGTCGACGAACAGACCAAATTATTTGAAAGTACCGATTGGTATACGCAAAAATAGGAAAACAACGAAGTGATAATAAAAAAAAAACAATGAACAAGAGTATTAAGAGTAGTGAATGATATGTTGATAAGTCGGTGTTGAATTGGTTAACACTACAGGAGAAGGAAGACAAGGAGAAGAGAAAGACAAAAGACGGCAAATTGTGCGATATGACGTTAATCTTCATAAGTAAAATACACTTATACGTACATAATACATATATCGATATCGTATTAGATTATCATAGATCAATAGTCGATTATATGTATTTTCCAACAGAGCCTTATCCTTCACTATATTTTCACTTATTTTTTACTTTATCGATTTAAGTCATAGATAAGTATTGTTCCTAGAAAATTAATCTTTTCTCAACAGCAGATGTCTTTATTCTCATACACTTTTGTTATCCATTGAAGTGACAAGAGAAAAAAAAGGAGACAATCAAACTTTGAGTAAACAATTCCTTTCTTCTTTTATTTTAACATTATACCTAAAAATAAGTGAATGTCTATAATATGAGATTAGACAATTAGTTAATCTGTTCTTGTAGCTGTTAGTTTACAATTAACGAATGTTATTTGAAAAACAAAATAGTAACTTTTCCATCGAATGTTAACGTCAAGCCTTTAAAATATTTCTGTATCTTTACCTAAAAATTCAAAAATTTTTGGCAAATTAATTTGGAATGAAATGTCATAGTAACAGTAGATTAATCTATGTTATTATACATTATTTTTCAAAAGCTTCGTTGTATAGAAGAACAATATGAAAAAGAAAATTAGTGAAAGCAAACGGGTAAAACAGAAAATCTACCTGTACATAACAGAAATTTAATGATTTGTTATGAGTAAAAAATGGCTTCGAACAAGAGAATTTCTTTGTACAGTCAATGATAGCACATTTTTGTGATGTCACACTGTTGTAATTATAAGGTTTTTTATGCCACTTTTGGAACTACATCTACTGTTCCTTAATTTTAGATTACTGACGTTTTTTTCCTGCAAAGTATCGAATCTTCTGTAACACACTTCAAAACATCTTAAACTAACATTTGGTATCAGGTTGATTTAATACAACTATCTGAATAAGCCATTTTTTATTACTTCCTTCTTTTTTGATTTATCTCTTTAGCAAAAGATATACAGTTTTTTTTAATATGTAACGTTGCACTGATCGACTTTTTCAGCTATATAATTTATGCAGTTTATCTGTGATCGTTTTCGTCGTTGATTTTTCAACTAAACCCGGTGCATAATAACGTAAGTGACCGGTAAATATAGTTAACTTGAAATAGCGAATAGCTTAGAAAGTTTATGTTGTTTCATATTTTAATGATTTATAATGCATAAAAGCTTGATTTGGCACTTCTTTCTCTAAATTCTTTATAATTTTACGTAGTTAAAAGTGTAAAATGTTCTTACAGGTGAATAAATTTTTATGTTTTGCTGTTCTGTTCTACAAGATTTCTGATAGACTTTCATAAGTCGTATACTTTTCGCTTTTAAATTTATGCTGCCATTTCTTCTTTTTTGGTCTTAATTTCCTTGGTAAAGACTTATTGAAAACTGTTCTGTATTGCTATTATTATTGTCTATTTCTATAAGACTGTTTTTACATGTTCGATGTAAATATATTCTATCTCAATGGCCATCGTTGAGCGATTTTTTTTTCTCTTTTTTTTTATTAGGATTCTGAAGTAGTTGAAAGCCCCCCCCAAAAAAATCGCAACAATTCGAAATCGAAGTCGGTAAGAGCCATATTAAAAAGATTAGGAAGGCGGATATTTTCCAAAAAGTATATTGCCGACCATTTCAAAAGCGCGCCGACTAGTTTATCGTTCTTTCTGGAAGGTTACCCACCACAAAAGTCGAGAGTATCAGTTGTTAAAAGCTTGTCGATGACTAGGAAAAGAGCGAAAAAAGAGAGAGGTGAAGAAAAAAGAGTGAGTGAAGGGTTGACAAATAATGGAAACTGAAAAATTGTCAAGTCGTTTAACATATGTAAAAAAACGTCTGAAATGCTGTAAATCGTTCTGTTTTCAGTCAATTATTAGACCCAGGTAAGAGAAAACGTCAATAACTACGAGTAAAACCGGATTTGGGTTTCAAAGTTGGCTGGCTCAGCTCAATGATGGATTACTGTTGAAAGTTTTGAGTAAAGCCATAAAGTTGCTGGTAAAACAATGATTTAGTTTGAACATTTAAGTGTGCAATTTGTTTTATGCTGAGTTTTAAAAATACTGCTATAAACAACAGTTATTATCAGAGAAAGATTTTTAGCAAATTTATATCTTCAGAATAGTGCCTGCTTTTTTGAAAACAAAACTCAACATTTTGGTGAAACAGGCCGGTAAGTGCAAGCAATTTATGGTAGTAAAATTTTTACAGACTTTATTGTAAAAAAAATTGCAAAAAAAATTTCTGTAATTTTGTACAACACTTAATCATTCAAATTTGTTACTGCCAGAAAACTTCACCAAAATATTATCTATTCAGAGTGCATTTTGGTGTACAATTGCTTGTGTTCGATGCTGAACCTTGACAAATTTAGAACAAAGTATAAACTTTAAGTGTTGCTGTAAGTTGGTGGCATAGACTTCTTTGTTTTTTGTTTTTTTTTCTTCGATTCAACTTTTTACTGCAATTGATTTACGCAGATTATTCAATGCTATAACATTTGTAGGCGACCTTCATTTTTTTTAGATAAACTATTAAGGAGTGAATGAACAACTATAATCGGCTGTTCGAAATTTGCCATATAAAGGAGTTTTAGCACTGTGACGTTAGTTATACAATATAATAATAACACTTGATAGATTGAAAACAAAATTTTTGAAGATTTTTATTACCGGCAAAGAATTGTAGAATAAGCTGGTTAACTGTTGAAACAAGAATAAGCTGAAGCATAAAGCAACTGTACAGATTATGCGCTTTTCTTGTGCAAGCAACTTTTAAATTTTGAGCATTATAAGCAAGATTTGATCTAATTTCTTTATCTTTTTGGTAATCAATCTCTTACTTCTTTCCAGTCATTCTAAACTTTAGTTCTTCATTTGGACAGATTTTTTAAAAATTATAGTCTATGAAATGACAACATCAAATGAACACCTTCTATGAACAAGTAACGTTTCTAAAATTACATAACCGTTGCTTATCTCTATAAATGTCTTTCTTGGTTAATGTTGATTCAAAACAATTATATATTTAAATGTTATGAATTAAGCTTAGGTTGATCTAATTGATTGGCAGATTTTGTTGCTGATTTAGGGAGACACCATTTTTGCCAGCAGACTATTCTCTGGTGACTTCGAAGAAAATCAGTGAACTGATGTTTGATAAAGCTTTGTTCAGCAGTGCTAAGCTGCAAGATAAATGTTAGCGTAAAAACTGAATATTACCTGTTTTTTTGATATAACATTTTCAGCAAAAAAAATAACGCTTTTTTTTCTCAGGTTTAACAAACAGTTTTATATTTTGAGAAATCAATTACTTCTTTTTTTCTTTGTTTTTTTAGAATAATGTAGTTGAAAAAAAAAAACTTCTAATGAAGGAGGTATATACGAAGTAAATAAATGACAAAAATAAACGAAATACAGTTGTTGAATTGAAATTTGTATATTATGCAAATTGATGTTTGCAAATTTTATCACGTTTGAAATTTAAGCAAACTGTTGAAAAGCGTCTGTTGAAAGCTGTAACTGAACAGTGAAAAAGATGAATTGGTAACATTAAATAAGTTCCAAAAAAAAATGAAAAAAAAAATTAGGTCACTTTTATTGACATTTTTATGACTGAATCTGTAGTTTTTTTTTTTTTTTTTTTTTTTTTTTTTTTTT